CTTCCCTACACTCATCGTCTGCTTCATTAAACCCATGTTATCCGAGCAAACTGTGGACTCCTATCTCTGGTCGCATGCGAAATGTCAAGTGGATTTCTTGTGCATTTTAGGCATAACGCCGAATTTCCGTGACGGTTTGCTTATCCGTCTGCCCAGCTCCCTGACTGCCAGGCCCCCAAAGATGTACTGATTTATTCGAAATGGGCATCACGCATTGACAACGTCTTCGCTTTATTGCCGAAAACCCCTTCCCCTCAGTTTCTTCCTCGTGATCCCTTTTCCTCCGGTTAGCGGTATATCTTTGATCCAGGCGTCTCCTTTTCGCTGGTCCATTTCCAATAAACCAACTTTGGGGGCCTGGCAGTCAGTGAGCTAGGCTGACGGATGAGCAAATCGTCACAGCCATTCGGCGCTATGGCCGAATTCAACTAGAAATCCACTTGAAATGCTGCATGAGACCAGAGATAGGCGTCAGCAGTAAACTCCTGAACAATCCTATCTACCCTTTAATGCTGAGTCGGTAGACTTGTGAAAAGTGTTGATTTCTCTGTCATGGCAACCTGAATACTCGATTGCTTCAATATTGGCTGTTGTTTTTGAACTAGTTGACAGGACGGTAAGCATATCCACTTTTGTGAATCCTTCATCGTCCTTACTGTTCTTTTATAGTTCTTTCATCGGCTTTTCACGGCACGTATGCTTCTTTGTATCATTTCGATTGGGTAGCCATTGCCGAGCAATATACTCGTCAATTTGTCCAGCTCCTCGTCCCAGAATTATACATTTCTAAGGCGTAGGCTTCGGATGATCATGCTCCTCATTATTCCAATCTTTATTCGGTAATTGTGATGGGACTGGAAATTAAGAATTATCCCAGCATAGGTGTTCTTTCCGAATAATTTCATTTTGAGCGTCCCATTTGAGCGAATCACTTCAACGTCCAGGAACGTTAACCGCTCACCTTCCTCTACTTCCATCATGAATTGAATTTTTCCATCAATCTGGTTTACAAACTTCAGAAACTCTTCCAGTTTTTCTCTTCCATTTGACCAAAGTGCCAAGTAATCATCCAGGTACCGCAAGAGCACTGCCGGTTGTAGCTGTGCCATCTTGAAGTTCTCTTCTATTTTGTTCATGTATACGTTAGCCAAAAGTGGTGAGAGCGGCGATTCCATGGGAAGTTCAAACATTTGTTCATAGATGTTCCCGTTGAATGTAAAATAGGCGGTCCTTATTGTCAAGTTGATTAGTCTTGTTAAAGACTCCCTACCGATACATTGTGAATCAAGGATATCCTCCTCTCGGTCCAGCCTTTCCAGCCGGGCCGTTTGTATATTTTCTCCAGAGATTCCACATCGAAACTTACCAACAAATCCGTTTCTTCCAGTGCCATGTTTTCTGATTTTTTGATAAAATTTATTTGAATGTTTAACCGTGCTTGATAGCCTCTCACTTAATTTCTTGAGTT